TCTATTACAATTACGCATTTTTGTCGCACTAACGTAATTTGCGTGGGTTGGATCAACTCAATTAAATTAAGTTGGACTCAACTGTAGTAAAACAGTTGATTCATCATTAATTAATCAAGTTAGTCCAAGTCAAGCACATTAAGTTGGAATAACAGAATTGCATGATGCTGAAACAAAGTAATTTAATTACGTGGAAATTCTTTCCATGATTTTTTTTTGAGTGTTCTTTATGTGCGTTATAACCTCAGACTTATCAGAACCTGCGCCTCAGCTTGTACTTCTCTAAACGCTTTCTCCCTTCCGTGCATGTCAAAACCACAACGAGCGTGCTCGCATCTGTTTGGGAAAATCCGAGATCTCTGGAAAGACGATGTGAGCGTGAGAGAAAGAACGAAAGAATACGCACTGCCCAATTATCTCGCTCCTTCTGCACCGAAAACACACTCATACACTTCTCTCTCTCCCACGTCGCACAGAAAGACCCCTGGGATTATTATTTTTTTGCCTATCGATGAAACTAAACACTCGGGCAGCAGAAAGAGCCGGGGAAGAGCAGAGGGAGCAACAGAGGAGTGAACTCTGCTCATTAAGCCTCGAAATTCTCCATTCTGCCCACAAAGTGGAGGTCCCTCTGTTTCTTTTCTCCGTCGGAGGAGGATGCAGCTGCTGGGAAAGTGTGTGTGCATGTGTGTGTGTGCATGTGTGTGTGTGCATGTGTGTGTGTGCATGTGTCAGTGGATAAGTGTTTAAGTATGCAGTGAACTCAGAGCTGTGATGGTCATTCACAGCTGCTCCAAAACATCATACTGCTGGATTTCAACACACACACACACACACACACACACACACTAACATTTGTTCTGTATCACAGAAATATTTAAAGACAAAAACTTGTTTTTCTTTTTTATTTGTTATTTTTTAAAGATTTCATGTTATGTTTTGGACGCTTTCTCACTGTTTCAAAGAGCTTTCTGTTTGCTAAAAATGCATTTCTACAATGTTTTCAGTTTTCTTTTTAAAACTTGAAAGTATAAAATCAAAGCTGTGGTAATATAAAGCCCCTTAGTACCAAAAACTAGACCGCCTGCTGCTTTTGCAAGCCACTTTGAATTTTCTACACTCAAAAAAACACTTAACCGTGACCTTTTTCTGAACCCAACCAGTTATCTTTAATGATGACGTCATGTAATAAACACGAAACAAACACCTGCAGTTTCTGCTGTAAGTGACCGAATCATTTAGTCCATCAACACTGAAATGAATCAGTACAAGTCAAAACGTACACGTAAAAATTACGCTCAGGAAGCTGGATCAGCAGATTAGCGGTCGTGGCTAGGTCATGAACTGTGATGAAACTTCAGTTTGTAGTAGTTTGACTGTTTTTGTGACTTTGGTGTTTAACACGTTGTTTCTGAATTAAACTGTATTAACAGCTCTGCTAAGGCGTCAGGAGGTGTTAAAAACACTCTAAATATACGTGCAAATACTCAAACTACCACTTCCGTGGTCTCCCATCTCCTTCAGTGCAGTTTAGCTCACTTGGCTTTCTGTTTGCTGTTTATATCCGTCTGACTCTCTCCTACTCTCTGTTTGAATATTCATTGCTCTTTTAAGTTTGATAAACAAG